CCACATGTTATTTGGGCCAATCCAAGTTCGGAGGAAGGAGTTAAGGCTGAAACGAATTGCTAACTCAGTCGGCACGTTTTTGCACCATTTTGCATCATTTCCTATCCAAAGCCACCGTTCCTACCTAAAGCTCAATGAACTGAATGATAAACACAAAAGGGATTAAAAGCACAAGTTTAACTCAAAAACATAACCGAATCATAAGCTAGAAGGATACAAAATGATATACAATTATGAACCGATCTACATGTTGTGTGTGTGTCTTGTTATCTTATGTTTCTTGTTTGTTAATTACTTGCAGTTGCATTTAAGCTCTATGGTTTGAGACAAACCGGGTTCATTGAGTGAGAGAAGAAGTGAGTATTGTACTACTTTTTTACTGTCTAACTCTCCGAGGAAATTTATGTTTTTATGGAATCTGACTTGAAATTGTCAGATGATCTTCTCGAGTCTATCATTGATAATGTAAGCAATACGTAGTTGTGTAAGTTTGGATGTTGTTTTACTGGGTGGTAATCAGAGCTTGTGGAGATTTTAGTACTCACGACATCTTCTATGACATAGTATTAACAATGTACTTCTATGACATAGTATTAACAGTGTACCTTTTTCTTTCTTGTAGAGGTATTTCCTTTTGCTTTTGTGATTGTATGTGGTGAAACTATGGACAATTGGAGGTGGTTTTTGCAAAAGATATCGGATGTCTTGCTGGGCTTTTTTGGATATTTTTTTATTTTTTGTATGAAATAGTATTAACAATGTACTTCTATGAAATGATATTAACAATGTACTTCTATGACATGGTATTAACAATGTACTTCTATGAAATGGTTTACGGAGGATCGGTGGAGAAGGGTCGTGGGGACAGCTCCTTGATTTTAGTTATTTATTTTTTTAAGTTTGAGTTTTCTAAAAAAAATTGGGCTGGGCTTGTTTTGGGTTTTTTTTTTGTCGAGTTTTTTGTGTTGGACTTGTTTTAAGTTATATCAATGTTAGAGATGTAATTTATAGAAACTTCAACGCTCATTTTTTATATAGTAAATGGTTTTTGGGTATGTTTCTAAAGTGCATTTCATGTGGGGTTTTTTTTTATAATTTCAGCCCATATTTTAAGTATATTACTAAAGCTCCCATTAAAATATTATACGTGTACGTTTGAATTTAAATTCCCACTACGCATCGAATAAATGCTATGTAGTTGGTCGTTGCAGTTGGTAGTTGAAAAATTTATGTCCATTAATCTACATAAGTTCTGCAACTTTTGGGAGGGTACACTGTACACAGAAAGAAAATTAGTTGGATGGCATGCAGAAATTGGTTGGGAGGTACACCGTCAGTCAATTACATGCAGAAAATGGACTTGCACTCCAATCGATCTCTTCCAACCTAACATTCTACTAAGTTATGTGAAGCCGACAACCAAATTCTCAACTAATGTTCAACACTTGCAGCGGCCATTTGTATATATATATATATATATCTATATACCAATGGCAGTGTTATCAACCTTAAAGCATGTATCTTCTGGGAAATCGCTCAGAATATTTCCACATTCACTTTTGATCGATTTAGTTCTGGTTGTACTCTTGGGTTTGTGTTGTAACTTGTAATCAATAGAAACAAGTCGTAAAATTTCTGTTCTTACAAGAAAAAAGAATGGTGTTCTTTTGAAAAACTAAAGAAAAAAGAAGGACTTGTCCAATATAGGTCCCTCCAATTTCTATTTCCTTGACATATACCCGTCATTCTATAAATCTATGTGTAAAACCCAATTTCAAACTTAAATGACCAATAGGATATAAGAGGTCATAATATTCTATGTTTTTACATCGTTGCCATCAGACTTCATATTTTATTTATAATTTATTCCAAGCATTTCATTAATTGCCATAATTGTAATTAAAACTCCCTATTAATAGCATATTAATCACCCCATTTCTTTTGGTTGCCATTCCCTCTAACATATCTCCCCTTAAAATTTCAAACCAAAAATAAAATATATAAATTACATATCCAATAATGTACATATGAAAAATATAAATATAAATATATACATATAAAAATATAGGTATATTATTTACCAAAAAAATTAAAAAAAAACTAGGTCAGTTACTTTGTAATTGAAATTTCCATACATTTTTCATAAATTAAAAATAGGTATACAATAATTTATAGAAAATAGGTACATTGTATAATTGAAATTTGTGCACATTTTTTTATAAATTAAAAATAGGTACATTATTTAGAAGAAAAAAAATAAGTTCATTATATACAGGTAAATTGTTTTACTAGGTATACATTATTAGAGAAAAAAAAATAGGTACATTATTTAGAGAAAAAAATATATACAAAATTTAGCAAAAAAATAGGTTCATTATACTAGGTAAATTGTTTTACTAGGTATATTATTAGAGAAAAAAAACAAATACATTATTTGGAGAGAAAAAATAGGTTCATTTAAAAAAAAATGTCATAAACCAAACAATAAAAAGATGATCAAATTATTTTTCATAAAACAAGTAATAGGTCCTTTATTTAGAGAAAAGGGGGTACATTATTTAGAGAAAAAACAACATAATTTTTTTATTAAATAAACCAAAACGTTAATCACCTATAGATTACTAATGTTGAATTTAATATTTAATTTCAAATAATTTTCTAAATTAATTCATACATCCATTACAACGATTTGGATATCTTTCCAAATTCAACGTGTGTCATTAGTTATACCCCCTATAACACATTAACTTATAAATAAGGGTAGTTTTGGAATTCGAAAAATGCAATAAATAAGATTTTAAGTTATATTAGGTGACTTGCTTAGTTGGATCCTAGTCATCGGGTATTATTTGAAAAAATTGGGTATTTTAAATAGAAAAATAAAGGGAAGGGTTGTAGGTGATTTAAAATGAATTTTATGGGTCTAAGCTCAATTTACTAAGGGCTTGTCCAATATAGGTCCCTACAATTTCTATTTCCTAGACATATACCCATCATTTTATAAATCTATGCGTAAAACCCAATTTCAAACTTAAATTACCAGTAGGATATAAGAGTTCATAGTATTCCTATGTTTTTACATCGTTGCCACCAAACTTCATACTTTATTTATAATTTATTCCAAGCATTTCATTAACTGTCATAATTGTAATTAATACTCCCTATTAATAGCATATCAATCACCCCATTTCTTTTGGTTGCCATCCCCTCTAACATATCGCCCCTTAAAATTGCAAACCAAAAAAAAAATGTAAATTACATATCCAATAATGTACATATGAAAAATATAAATATAAATATATACGTATAAAAATATAGGTATATTATTTACCAAAAAAATTATAAATAAAAAAAACTAGGTCAGTTACTTTGTAATTGAAATTTCAGTACAATTTTCATAAATTAAGACGAGCACTCCCGGGTCAAAGAAATTGTGCTCACCGCTTGGTCTGTAAAATTACACACTTGACGTGTGAAAGGGGGGAAACGCCAGGTCTGAGTTGGAGAGCCATAATGGGCCTCGAGTTGGAGAGCCACAATGCTGGTTTCACCAAAGTTGACTCCCTTATGCTTACCGTCCCCTTCTCTAGCATCTTTTCTTTTTGTAGGGACCTATATTGGACAAGCCCAGAATGGTGTGTTCTTCTGAAAAACCAAAGAAAAAAGAAATAGAAGAAGAAAAGATGCCAGAGAAGGGGACGGTAAGCATAAGGGAGTCAACTTTGGTGAAACCAGCAGAGGAGTCGACGCTGACACCTCGAGGCCCATTGTGGCTCTCCAACTCAGACTTAGCGTTTCCCCCCTTTCACACGTCAAGTGTTTACTTTTACAGACCAAGCGGTGAGCACAATGTCTTTGACCCGTGGGAGTTCTCGTCTTAACGGTTAAAATTAAGAGAATATTAAAGCTCCCAATCTAAACCAGTGAAAGTCATTTTGCCTTAAAATAAATTATGCCCATCAGTCGATTCCATGCAGAGAATGGGCCTGCCAAAAAATCGATTATGTCTTTCCAACTAAAGTCATGTGGAGCCATGAAATTTCCAACTACCCGTCGGCCGACTTCAGCTGCCATTCGCAACGTTCGCAAAGCACCATATATAAATGGCGGTGTTATCTCCTGCTTTAAAGCATGTATCTTTTGGGGTGTCTGTAGATAAGATTAATTATTTCTAAGATTTTACATTTAATACTATCTTCCTCAGTTTCCGTTTCCACTTTCACTTTTGATCGATCCTGGTTCTAGTCCTGTGTTTGTGTTGTAAGTTGTGATCACAAGAAAGAGGTCCTAATTTTCTTATCTTCTTTTCTCATAAAAGAACTAGAAAAAGAAAAGATGGCGGAGAAGGTGATGGTGAGCATAAGGGAGTCAACAATGGTGAGGCCAGCCGAGGAGTCCACGCCTCGGGGCTCCCTGTGGCTCTCCAATTCAGACCTAGCGTTCCCACCCTTACACACATCCAGTGTTTACTTTTACAGACCAAGTGGTGAGCACAACTTTTTTGACAAGGAAGTGCTCAAGCAGGCCCTAGGCAAGGCCCTTGTGCCCTTCTACCCCATGGCCGGTCGCTTCAAGCTCAATGACCAGAACGGCCGTGTGGAGATTGATTGCAATGCGGAGGGAGTGGTCTTTGTTGTAGCGGAGAGCAGCTCTGCTGTTGATGATTTTGGTGATTTTGCTCCTAGTCCCGATTTCCTGACACTAATCCCGACAATTGATTACTCTGGTGGGATATCCTCACATCCGATTTTGGTGTTACAGGTATTTTGAAATTATTATCCAAAGTCTCATTTTAAAATTTGTGATTTTTGTCAAATAAATGTGTATTTTGTTTAGGTACATTCTCATGGAGAACTCTCTGGTGTACTTCCAACAAGTACACTAATATCCCAAATATATATATATATATATATATATTCTCATTGCATCATTTTTCATGGAGAACTATCTGGTGTACTTCCAACAAGTATCTATACCATTCCCAACTTGGTTATGCAGTAATTAAATATTGGGCTAACGACAAAAGACACCTTGCAGGTTTGGGGTGGTTCTCAATATGGACCCAAGGTATCAATTTTATCAATTTACACCCTTATGTTTGCAACATCGTCCAATTTCATCACTCCGTTAAGTTGACCGTGTAGTCAATCATTAAATGCTGACGTGTCTACTGGGAGACCCACCTACTAAAAAAATTATTTAAAATAATAAAATAATATTCTGACCGAAAAAAAAACATAAAGTTTAAAAAATTCAACTTAAAAAATCCCAGCCCCTCTAGATCCATATTGTTATCCACACCCTCATCTTCCTCTAATTCCTTCCTCTTTTCTATCTTCCACCACGACCAGGATCTTTGACCGACAAGCCCAGTGCTGCCGCCAGCCCCTGGAAACCAGCGCAGACGACGAATCTAGAAAATTTCCAGCCGCTGCCATTGTTAAGTTTATTATTATTTTTTAAACCCAACCCAGCAGCTTTGCCCTCATCATTCTTCTTCCTCTTCCTTCTCTTCCACTACCCCCACCTCCAGAACAGATCTGCCATGGCCACGCCCACAATCGCGCCTTCTACTGTGGATCCCAGAGAATAAGAGTCACAACGTTCAAGACCCATATGATGTCGAAGACCCAAAAAACCCAGAAATAATGAATATGCAGATGGAGGAAGAGAAATTGAACAAAGGGATCTTAAGCCCCAAAAGGGCCCTTGCAGATCTACCCAGAAATCAAAAATGAAAAACGAAAAGCTTAGAGAGAGAGAGAGAGAGAGAGAGAGAGAGAGAGAGAGAGAGAGAGATGCCATGATGACTCTTCCTCCTCCGACCTCAGCACCTAGAAAAAGACACACATGGAATTCTAGAAACTACTTCACAACCTCTCTATTTGCTCCGACGGACTCGCTGACACCAACTCCAAAGGTAAATTAGCCCTTATTTTAATTTAATCATATCAGAGAATAAGAGTCACAATCGCGCCTTCGACTGTGGATCCCAGAGAATAAGAGTCACAACGTTCAAGACCCATATGATGTCGAAGACCCAAAAAACCTAGAAGTAATGAAAATGCTAGTGGCGAAAATGCAGATGGAGGAAGAGAAATTGAACAAAGGGATCTTAAGCCCCAAAAGGGCCCTTGCAGATCTGCCCAGAAATCAAAAATGAAAAACGAAAAGCTTAGAGAGAGAGAGAGAGAGAGAGAGAGAGAGAGAGAGAGAGAGAGGCCATGATGACTCTTCCTCCCCCGACCTCAACACCTAGCAAAGGTCATGCATGGAATTCCAGAAACTGCTTGCCAAAGCCAGACACAACCTCTCTATTTGCTCCGATGGACTCGCAGACTCCAACTCCAAAGGTAAATTAGCCCTTATTTTAATTTAATCATATCATTTTTTAGGAATTGCAGATTTTAAATAAAAAAATTTGTTAGTAGGTGGATCCCACAACAGACACATCAGCATTTAACGATTGACCACACGGTCAACTTAACGGAAGGATGAAATTGGACGATGTTGCAAATGTAAGGGTGTAAATTGACAAAATTGGTACCCTGGGGTCCATATTGAGAACCACCCCAAACCTACATGGTGTTTTTTTATCGTTAGCCCTTAAAGATTTAATGTGCAGCATGTGCATGTACCTTGTTGTTTGTAGTGGTATGATAAAACTTGAAGTGCAGCATTTGCTCCTTACTTCAGATCTGGTTTTCCCTTTTCTTTCTAGTTTAAAAAGAATATATAGAAAGTTGGGACTCGTGACGGGAGAAGGGATTATTTACCAGTTTTGGAGGTACGTTGTGCAAGTTTATTATAGGACGTAATTAGGTGGTTTTGATCTTTTCTTCTTTAGAACGCCGAACGCATGATGATTAGGGTTGATGCATAAATAGTAAACATGCACACCTTCTCAGATGGGAAATTTTAACTCAACTAACTGAAAATAGGGAATTCTTTAACATGGGATATTTACGTGTACATATAATATATATTGTTAATGACATGTCATCTCGTATTGATCACCGGTGATCTACTGTTTCGGTTTCTTAGCTTTGCACTACTTATTTTGTGTTGCAATTCATATCTATAAGATTTTTAGTTACTTCTTTATCGCGTTTCCTGTTTACGCGTAATTAGGTTAGCCCGTAATTAGGTTAGCCCAATTGTACATATATATATATATATATATCATATACTATATCAATGAGATTATCAAATTCACCTTTTCTACACATACATACATATGTTGTTCTGGATTTTAATGTCTATATATATATATATATATATGCAAATGCAGATCACGTACTTCAAATGCGGTGGAGTGTCACTTGGTGTTGGCATGGACCACCGCGTTGCAGATGGAGTTTCTGGTCTCCACTTCATAAATACATGGTCTGATATTGCTCGTGGTGATCTCTCAAATATTAAACCGCCTTTCCTGGACAGGACATTACTTCGTGCCCGAGACCCACCTCAGCCTGCATTCCCCCACATTGAATACCAACCTTCTCCACAAATGAAACCTTCTGATAATCTGAAAAGTACAAGTAATATTACTACGTCCATTTTTAAATTGACGAGGGAGCAGCTCAACATCTTGAAAGACAAGTCTAAGGAAGATGGCGGGAATAATATTAATACAATCAACTATAGCTCATTTGAGACGTTGGCAGGTCATATTTGGAGATGTGCTTGCAAGGCACGTAGACTTTCGGATGATCAAGACACCAAACTACTTATTGCCACCGATGCACGGTCCAGATTGCAACCCCCACTCCCACCTCATTTCTTTGGCAATGCTGTTTTCAGAACCACACCAATTTCTGTTGCAGGGGATCTCCAATCGAAGCCAACATGGTATGCTACAAGCTTTGTTCATGATGCTTTGGTGCGGATGGACAATGATTATTTTAGATCAGTCCTTGACTATCTTGAGCTTCATCATCCTTGTCTTTCTGAACTTATTATGGGTCCTCCGTCGATTTGTTGCCCAAATCTTCGCATAAACAGTTGGACTAGGCTGCCGATTCATGATGCCGATTTTGGGTGGGGTCGACCCATTTTCATGGGGCCTGGTGCAATTCCATTTGACGGGATTTCTTTCTTGTTACCAAGTGCAACAAACGATGGGAGTTTATCACTGGTCATTTCTCTGAAATCCGAGGACATGAAATTATTTTCCACGTTGTTGTATGACATATAATTAAGGAAATGAGACCGTTGAAGAAATTTGGTGATCATGTTCGGTTTGAAACGCTGTCCTCTTCTTCACCTCTACGGTTGTGTATTGGTTTGTACACGTTGCTTGATTGAGTATTGCAAGCTTTGTTTCAAAAGCCATGAATGTATTGGTGCATGTGGTGGACTTCCTGTCCACCATGCTTGCTGTGTTTTATTGTGATTCTTAATTTTCTCTTTCTCATCAAATAAAAAGAAATCTGAATTTAATATCAATTCTGATTTTCTTAAATTGATGAGTTTCCTGTATATTCTTGTCATGAGTTTCTGATATTGTAATTCTCCTTCACATATATTTCGTGAGAGAAATTAAGAAGTTGTGCTTTTGCGAGTTGTAGCTAAGGCTGCCCACATCCTTCTATTATTAGAAAGTTGTGCTACACATGTATATCTTTGTGATCTTGTTGTTATTTTGACTTTACAAAGGGTCAGGGACAGATTCAGGATTTTAAAATGGACTGAGCTGGATTTACCTTAAAATTCAACGGTACGAGCGAATTTTATTAATAACAAAAAAATATGATACACCTAGTTATAGAGGACATAATAATCCATATACCCCTCAAATGTATCTAATACATAAAAGAAAATAATAAATAAACATGCAATGCAAATACAACATAAAACTATTTAAGTTGCACCATTCGAGTCTTTGAAGAATTAAAATCATTAATGATTCATTCAGTATTGATATTATCAGCTAATTTTTATTTTATTTTTTTGGTTGTGTTTAAATACTACATCACATTTTTAAAAAATTGAAAAAAAATATGTATGGACTATAGCCCATTGATAACTCCATATTTGTGCTTTTTTCTATACCCTATTCCTATGATTTGCATTAGTTTCTTATGTGAAATTGGTTGTTTTGATGTGTTTAGTGTGAGTTTTGTAAGAAATCGTCCCTAAAGTTGAGTTGGAGCTAAAAAAAACAGAAAAATATGGTGAAAAGGAGCAAAGAAGTCAGAAATTTGGAATTAGTAACTTGGAACTCAAGAAACTTCCTGTGTAGATGGGTCAACTTTACGGATTTAACTGTAAGTGCTCTAGAAGAACCAAATAACGTGCTCTATATTCTTGGAAATCTCTGGAAGTCTAGTTTCTGGAGAATTTTACGGTTCGTGATTTTGAGTTTTTTAGAGGAAGTTACATTAGTTTTAGTACCAGTAGGCCAGTGCTGGAATTATGCCCAAGTTTTGACAACTTAGCATCACAAGTTACCATTCTTGAAAAGCAAGCTTTTGGATGTCCCTGGGCAGTTATGAGGCACCAAAACATTGTGTTAATTCAATTATAAGTTAGCTATTTTTCTGGGACAGTTGGCGTTTGGTCTGGTCAAAGGAAGTGCATCAAAAGTCAAATCCTAATCACATTAGGAGAACAAATTCCCTATTCTAGAGGGATTTAATTCCTATCTTTTCTCCAAAACCTAGAAGCTAGCCTATAAATACATCTTTTGGACCAGCTTTGAAGGGAGAACCCTAGCGTATTGTTCAATATCTCAAATCACTCAATTCACATACTCACTTTCTTAGCCGTTCATAGCCTTCAAGATTTGCCGGAGGAGGAGTTCAACTATAGTGGATTCATCTAAGGGTATTTCCATCTTAATTCAAACTTTGTATTTTCTGTTCATAAGTATATTGTTTGTTTCTAAGATGGCTATGGGTAACTAAATTCTTTGCTAGGGATCCGATGTAACCTAACATGATGATTCTATGTTATTGAGTTAATACTTATTTTTAATCAATTTATATTCCTTTTTTCATTCATTATTATAATTGTGATCTTGATACTTGTAATTGGCAGTTATAGGTATTTTGGATTGTCTAAGATAAGGTTGGGTGAGGGGTTCATCCCTAATCTTATATGCACTATGAATGAATGAGTTGTTGTTAAAGCCGGGGTTCAAGCTAAGACACTTCTTGGTTCTTGATTGTTCTTTGTAAACTTTAATGGGTTCTCGATTAAATTTGGCTACAAGGTTCATTAGTTGGGTTTAATTGAGGATACTTGGTGACACCGTGGCCGAACGAATCATCATAATAAAGAAAGAACGAAGCCTTGGAATTGAATTGGAATTTTATTCTCAAAATCAACTCAATACATAGAATAGGATTGTTATGGTGAAGTTGGAATCCTAGTTTTCATCCACTGATTTTCAAAACCAATTTTCAACCTCTGTTATTTTATTTTCTTGATTTTCAACACTTCGATTAAAATTGAGTAATCTTATTTTTGGTTATTTTAGTAGTTTTAATATTTCATTTTATTTTCTATATTCCTTAAGGTATTCATATTTGGAATTAATTGATAAACTTTACAAATCTCTATGGGAACGACTCTCGTATTTGCTTGCTAAATTATCACTACTAAAAAACAACCCCTTGCGCGACCAAACTTTGCGCGACCAAACAAAATTCGTCGCGCAAAGTGACTTTGCGCGACAAATATAAATCATCGTCGCTCAAAGTCTTACGCGACTCAATTTTGCGCAACGAAAAACAAATCGTCGCACAAAGTCACTTTGCGCGACAAAACTTTGCACGACGGCAAAGAATCGTCGCGAAAAGTAACTTTGCGTGACGAATACTAGAATTCAGTGCACAGAGTTTTGCGCGACAAATAGTGATTCGTCTCGCAAAGTATTTACAAAAATAAATAAATAAAAAATTATTTTAAAAATTTTTTGGATGCCTTTGCGCGACGAAATAATAATCTTCGTCTCGCAAAGTCTTTACTAAAATTAAATAAAAAATAAAAAAAATTTGTTAGAAAAATATATTATTGTAGTTCGGATTGGGTTTTTGTTAGAAAATATATATTTTAAATTGACGATCAAATTGGTTCATTGTATTCATATAGGGTCAAGGAATGTAGCTGTAAAAAATCATCAAAATCG